AATAATAATAATATTGATATACATATTTCAAATTTTTTGTTATATGTTACAATGAAATGTGACACCATTGTTAAATTTTTTTTTTTTTTTTTGACAAGAACAACAGACAAGTAAAAAATTCACCCTACTTCATGAACTAAAAAGAATTCAAAAATGAATGGAAATTCAAACATTTAGACATATTAGGAACTTCCGTAAATACTATCATCAATGGCTTTGTGTTAAAGATGTTAATAATCTGGACTAACTGTCTTTTTTATTATGATTACATTATCACATTAAAAAAAAATCTTTTATTGATCAATAGATAATTTTTTTCCGCGTATTAAATATTCAAATAAATCCTTGGAAAACTGATTGAAATTAAATTCTAGTAGAATTTTGAGGTTTTAGCTGGGTTTCATTATGAAGATGATGTCTCAACATTTTTAAACATTATGCAAAGATGAATGTATATAGAACAAAAACATTACTTTTACCATCAAGAGAAAGGAGAAGAAAATGTTATAGGAATTATTATTATAGAATGTATTTTTCAGGGAATTTTCCGTACATTCTGATTTTTTTGCACTGAATATTAATATTAATACACAATATCAACTTTAAATTTATCTGATGAATTATTAATTATATGTAAATGGGGGTTTACAGGATATCAAGTTGATACAATTATTATTTATTATTTAAACAAACTAGCTGATTCAACAGGGGAGGAAAAATGTCTGAATTTATAAATAAATTAAAAGAAATTCTAATATTAAAAAAATCAATAAGAAAATGTTTACATCTAAATAATTAATATGGAATTCCTATAAGGGGAGGTATTAAAAAAAGGTTAGGCAAAATTTCAATATTTATTCACTTTTTTTCATAGATTATTAATAACTTACCATTCGTGGCTTTCTGGAAACTATCATACCAAACTGTTCTTTTATTTCCAAATGATTGATTGATCTTTTCAATCATGAAATCTGCAGCACGACGCTCATTTCGATCCAATTGGAATCTATCACATAA